TTCAATAATTGCTACATTCATTAGTTGCTATTATTATTATTATTAATTATTAGAGGAGTAAAGGGAGAGAAAGGCAGGAGGAATGTTAGGGCTATTAAAATGAGAATGCTGGGCTGGCCTGTGGCTCACTCGGGAGAGTGTGGTGCTGATAACACCAAGGCCCAGGGTTCGGATCCCATATAGGGATGGCCGGTTCGCTCACTGGCTGAGCGTGGTGCTGACAACACCACGTCAAGGGTTAAGATCCCCTTACCGGTCATCTTTTTAAAAATAAATAAATAAATAAATTAATTAATTAATTAATTAATAAATAAATAAATAAATAAATAAATAAATAAATAAAATGAGAATCTTTTTTGGGATGTCCAAAGCAAGCAGAGGGAGAAATCTATATTTTTAATTCTTCCTCACCGGAATGAACATTTTTCTACTCAGCACAATTTGTTGTAGGCATCAAATAATATTAAATCTATGTTGTGTCCTAGCAGGATAAATGCCAACATCGCCAACAGAGCTACCAGAGTCTATAAGTACCTCAGTGCGTGAAAGCAGAGAAGATATTACGTGACACGTGGCCTTGGTCTTTTTTTTTTTTTAAAAGATGACCGGTAAGGGGATCTTAACCTCTGACTTGGTGTTGTCAGCATCACGCTCACCCAGTGAGCAAACCGGCCATCCCTATATAGGACCCGAACCTGCGGCCTTGGTGTTATCAGCACCGCACTCTACCAAGTGAGCCACAGGCCGGCCTACTTGACATATTTTTGAAGCTGAAGTGCTTCTAAGTTTGGTAGTTCCAATTCTGTTATTTCTTGGGAAAGTTTTTAATAACAAGAACATGAAGAAATAAACAGTGCTGGTTCCCTAATATTAAAGTTTCAGGAATGTGGTTATTGCTGTCCAGAAAAGACCATGAGAATGACCTCATTTCTAACCAAGGAAAAGTTGAACTCTCTCTTTTAGTCTGCCTTATGAATACAATAAAAAGAGCAGGGTGGAATATAATAAACAGATTCATCTTAGTTGAAGCAGATGGCTTCAATATATTTTCAGGCTTTTTTTCAATATCTTTTAATGATGATTCTCTGTGACTTTTTCAGAGGATGTAGCAGCTCAAGCAGGAATCTTTTTAAAAGTATATTGAAAGCTCACTCTGTGCTGAGCCCGTTCCAAGTATGCTCACACAACTTTCTGAGGTAGGAATAAATCAGAGCACACCTGTGGTTAAACAAGTTGGGCTTCTCACTTGTTGGGGGTGGAGGGGGTGGGGATGTGAACCATGAGGAACAATGGGGCGTCTCAGTAACAGTGTTAGAAAGGATGTATAGGACTTGTTTGGGCTTGCGTTAGATGATTTGGGGGAGGGTTTATGGAAGAGGGGCTTTGATTGGATGTGTCTATGAGTGGGATCTTGATATATCTTACCTAGAAGGAGGGAAGAGTAGACTGAAGCTAAAGCTGTAATTTCTATATGAACCAGGAAAGGGAAATGTATGGCCATTTTTGTGGTTTGGACAATCTTTTGCTCATGTTTTGTCTGGGTTTGGGCATGATTAGAGTGGCCTTGATTGATGTTGATGTTCCGTGAAATTTTTATGTTCAACAGGAGAACACTAGGATCTATTTGTGAGTGCCAGGCCTCCTCCTTGAAGTCAGGGGCTGTTTCTCTTTTTCTCATAGCCTGGACTCAAATCCAGGTTTGTGTGACTGGAAACATCTCCCGTGTTACTTTCTGTTCACAGTAACCTGAGAAGACGCTGTCAGACTAAGAATTTCATGTTTGAGTTTATTTCATCTACTATGTTTACACCTTATTCAGGTCCAACCCATAACAGTCCCTGGGATAATTGTAGGTACTTAATAAATGTTTGTTGAATAAATGCAACAGTGAACATGGCTGTCAAGATCTCCAGAGAAGATTGCCTGGGTCCAAATTGCTGCTCCACCATCTATTAGTAAGCAATTTGATACAATATGTATTAACAGCTAATATACAATCCATATTCAATTTTATTACCTGTCTCAATATGTCAATTACAGCTATTCCATCACCACCACCACCACCACCATCCCAGTCCACAATCCAATTTAGAATCACACACCACATTTTGTTGTCATGCCTCTTTAGTTTCCTTTAAACTGAAACATTTCCTCAGCTCTCTTCTGTTTTTCATGAAACTGACAGTTACTTTGTAGTGTCCCTCGATTTGGGTTTATTTGACGCTTCCTCATGAGATTTGGGCTACACATTTTTGACAGAAACCACAGAAAAGATGTTGTGTCCTTCTCAGTGCATCTTATCAGGAGGCACATGATCTGTACTAGACCCATTACTGGTGATGTCAACTTTGATCACTTTGATTCTGCTAGGTTACATCTCTGTAAAATTACTATTTTCCTTTTATAATCAATACGTAATTTGTGGGAGACACTTTTACTGATGTTTAACCTGTTTCTCTAGTTTAACCATTCATTATTGATTTTCTAACCTCATCGTGTTTATTAATTGACATTTTACTAAGGGTCTCCCTTCTCATTTATTTATTCACTTTATTTATGTCAGTAAAGACCCATGGATTACTATTTTATTCATTTAATTGCACTCTATTACTATCATTATGTATTTTGATGCTGAAAGTGGGTATCTCAAGTTAGCGCCTGTGTCCTTTGACACGTTCCCATCATTACCACCATTACCCTTACATTCTGGTGAACAAAGTGTTCCCAGCTTATATGGTACTTTCCGGAATCTGCATTTTCTTCCAGGAGCCCCAATCCCTGGCTCTTTGAAAAGCTGCTAAATAGCGATGTGTTCCTCAACTTCCTGCCCGCAGGCGGAACCTTAGAGCCCCGAGCCTGGGCCGGAAAACAGTGCAGAGGACAAGCCTCTTCCGGTTGGGGACGGAAGTCCCTCCTATAGGGGTGGCTCCGTGTCAGGTGACATGGAGCCCGCGTAGGAGGGGTCGAAGGTCCGGCCCAAGAGACTGACGGGACAGTAGGACTGGCCGGCAGACCGATAGGCTGGGACGGCCTCGGCCGCGTTAGCTGCTCGGAGGCAGGTACGTGAGGGGCTAGGAAGGTGGCAGCGGCAGTCAGTGTTGGGGGGCGGGAGATCCGGTTCCGCCTTCCTGGGGCTCACGGGCTGCGACACCTGAGCCCAGGGGTCCAGACACAAGCTCGACCCTGCCCCAGGCCCTCCTGCCCAGAACAGAGGTCGGCAGACATTGTGGTCTTCCGTCCCATGATTACAGATTGAGTAAACTGAGGCCTTGAGAAAGGGAAGCTTTCCTTTCCAATCAGGGTTCACCCTGACTCCCGTTCTGTCCCCTGTGCGGGGCCGCCTCTCTTTTGTGCGAGTGCATTTAACGAGTTTGCCCCGAGTGGAGAGGCCGAGGCCGAGCGTGGTGAGCAGAGTTGGGCTGAGAGTAAGAGAACTGGGTTCGACACTTTTCACTATCAACAGACAGTTGTGCGTTCTGGGTCAAATCCCTTCCCTGTGCTGGGCCTCATTTGTAAAACGGGGCAGTGTTTCTCAGTATGGTTCTCACACCATCTGCTTTGAAATCCCCTGGAATGAGGGCTTTACAGTGTGAAACTCAAATAAGACATCTGTTTAGAATCTGGGTAGGAACCTGGAAAGCTGCGTTTTGAAGTATGCCTTGGGGGGTCCTATACATACTGATGTTTGAAGCTCATTGATCTTAAGTGCTTTCCTGCTGTGAATACTAGACGTTCATTCTTCGCTTAGAGGCAGCTGCAGCCAGTTCAGGAACTTTGGAGGAAATGGCATGTTTAGCCCAGAAAAGAGAGCACTGGAAGAGAACTGTGTTTAAAAACTGAAAAAATTGGTATGGCGAAGAGGGCTTCCACTTCATCTTTGGGGCTGAAAGAGGCAGAACTAAGACTAATAGGTGGATTCTACAGGAAGACAAGTTTTTACTTAAGGGAAGACTCGTCAGAGATGACCAGCGATGGAATGGATAGCCTCCCGGTCGAAGGAGGTATACAGGTATTAGATGGAGGTCCTTTCCAATTCGAAAGTCTGTGATTCTAAGTAGTTATTTTGAATCTGATGCTGACTCCACCCTCAAAGTAAATGTGACTTTTCTTTTTTCTGTTCTCTTTTCTTGACACCTCCATCCCCCCAGCCTACATCTCCTGTAAGTAAGGCCAACATGTCTGCTTTTATGTAATCTCTTCCTGGTTGTCCTATGAACCATCCATCTTTCCAAGGACTTTGGAATAACCCAGTATCTGATAGAAGCACCTTAAATATTTGTTGAATGAATAAGTAAACAGGGTCCAGCCTACATCTCCTGTAAGTAAGGCCAACATGTCTGCTTTTATGTAATCTCTTCCTGGTTGTCCTATGAACCATCCATCTTTCCAAGGACTTTTGAATAACCCAGTATCTGATAGAAGCACCTTAAATATTTGTTGAATGAATAAGTAAACAGGGTCTCACCCCATTGGTTAAGAGCTTATTTTCTTAGAACAACTTGGAAACACCTCTGAAGACTTTGTATTTGACCAGGAGAAGCTAGTGAACTCTTTGGAGCACAGAATTGAGGAATCTCATTTGGAAGGGCCCCTTGTTCAGGCCAGCCTTCTCCTCCCTGGGACGTAAATCCCTCTTTAATCTTCTCCAGCAATGTGTAGATAGATGTGAGAGAATTTTTGCAGTCTGTAGGCTAGCTTTCCATCCAGCTAATAAAACCAGTACTCTTATGGACTTGACTTGCAAGTTCATTCTCACTTACATGTAGTTTGCAGATGATGCTTCTAGCATATCTTTAAGTTTTCTAATCAAACATCAAATTTCCTTATTTTATGCTTTACAAAACTCTAAGTAGATCACTTTTTCAACAGCTGTTAGAATGCATAAGAATGCTTATGTTGTCTTGTGGAGCAGAGATTCCATATTTTGACCCGATTCTGCTAACTACCTCCCCCCCCGCCCCAAAAGGTTTGGGTTGAGCTAAAACTTCCTGCCTGTGTTGCCTACTTGTTTGTGTTTCCTTAGATTTTTTTTTTTTTTTTTTAAGTGAAAAGCTTATTCAGATGGTATCCCAGGTGTTGGGTAAAATGATCTTAACTTCAAGGTTTTAAAACTACTCAGTCTGAAAATTTCCTGAAGGAGTACCTGAATTGGTGTTTTCATAAATGTGTTCTTCAGGCCACTGATCTGAAAAGATGCCTCTGAAAAAGTGTTCGATGGTAAAAATAAGTTTGGGAAAAGCTACATATCATTATCCTTTCTTGGAGCTTCTCTGTGTATTAAAGGCACTGTGAAGTCCTGCAATGAAGAAATGTGCTTTATAAGGAAAATAACTTGTGTCACTTGTTTAATCTAGTGTTACCAAACTTGTTTGATGTGAAACCTTTTTTTTTTTTTTTAATTGAAGGGGGGGGGGGCAAATTCTGACCTAGAGCAGAGGTCTGCATACTAAAGCCTGTGAACCAAATCTGGCCCTGCGGCTTGTTTTTGCATGGCCTGGAGGCTAAGAATGGCTTTTTTTTTTTTAATTGAAGGGGGGGGGGGCAAATTCTGACCTAGAGCAGAGGTCTGCATACTAAAGCCTGTGAACCAAATCTGGCCCTGCGGCTTGTTTTTGCATGGCCTGTGGGCTAAGAATGGCTTTTACATTTTTAAATGGTGGAGAATAAATCAAAAGAAGAATAACATTTCATGATATGTGTCAGTTATAGGAGAGTCAAATTTCAGTGTTCATTTCAGCCACACCCACTTATTACATATTGTCTTTGGCTGCTTTAATGGTACAACAGTAGAGCTAAGTAGTTGCCACAAAGACCGTGGTCCACAAAGTCTAAAGCATTTACTATATGGCCCTATACAGAAGAAATTTGCCACCCCCTGACTTGCATCATGTACACTTTTTTAACTTTTTATTTTAAAGTAATTTTAGACTTACAAAAAACTTGCAAAAATAATCAATGAATTTTGTTTACCTTTCACCTAACTTCCCCTAATGTTAGCACTTTACATAACTATATTAAAATGATCTAAACAAGAAATTTAACAATGATACAGTATTACTAACTGATCTATAGAGTTTGTTTAAATTTTGCCTTTTGTACCACTATGTTCTTTTTCTGTCCCAGGACCAAGTCCAGGATCCTAGTTGCATTTAGTTGTCAAGTCTCTTTAGTCTCTTCCAATCCGGGACAGTTTCTCAGTCTTTTTTGATCATTTATAACAATAAATGTTTGAAGAGAACTGGCCAGTTATTTTGTAGAATGTCTCTCAAATTTGTATTTTTAGATTTAATTCACATACCGTAAAATTCATTATTTTAAAGTGTACAACTCATTGGTTTATAATATATTCACAAGGTTGTTCAGTCATCAACATTATCTAATTCTAGAACATTTTCATTACCCCAAACAGAAACTGTGTACCCTTTAAGCAATAATTCCCTATTCTCCCCTCCCTTCAGCTCCTGGTAACCTCTAATCCACTTTCTAGGTCTATGAATTTGTCTATTTTAGATAATTTCCTATAAGGGAATTACATAATATATGACCTTTTATGGAAATGTAGGGTTTTTTTCCATTGTGGTAAAATACGCATAACAAAATTTATCGTCTTAACTATTTTTAAATGTACATTTCAGTGGTATTAAGTATATTCATATTGTTGTGGAAATATCACCACTTATCTCCAGAACTCTTCATTTTGCAAAACTGAGACTTTATACTCATTAAACAATAAGTCCTTACTCCCTCCTAACGTAGCCACTGGCAACCACCATTCCACTTTGTCTATGGTTTTGACTGCTTTAAGTACCTCATATATAAGTGCAGTCATATTTTTTTGTGACTGGCTTATTTCACTTAGCATAATACCTTCCAGGTTTATCCAAGTTGTGTAGAATTTCCTTCCTTTTTAAAGGCTGAATAATATTCCATTGTGTGTATATAGCACATTTTTTTATTCATTTGTGTTAATGAACACCTAGATTGCTTCCATGTTTTAGCTGTTGTGAATAATACTGCTGTGAAAATGGATGCAAAAATATCTGAGACCCCTACTTTCAATTCCTTGGATACATACCCAAAAGTAGAATTGCTGGATCTTATGATAGTGCTATTTTTAATTTTTCGAGGAACCTCCTTTTGGTTTTCCACAGCAGCTGCACCATTTTACATTCCCACCAACAGTGCACAGTGTTCCATTTCTCTACATTCTCGTCAAACTTGTTATTTTCTGGCGATTTGATATTATTGATAGTGGCCATCCTAATGGGTATGAAGTAGTATCTCATAGTTTTGATCTGCATTTTCCTAACAGTGTTGAGCACCTTCTCATGTTTATTGGCCATTTGTATATCTCCTTTGGAGAAATGTCTGTTCAAGTCATTTGCCCACTTTTTTTTTTTTTTTTTTTTTTTAAAGATGACCGGTACGGGGATCTTAACCCTTGACTTGGTGTTGTCAGCACCACGCTCAGGTAGTGAGCGAACCAGCCATCCGTATACGGGATCCGAACCCGTGGCCTTGGTGTTATCAGCACCGCACTCTACCGAGTGAGCCACAGGCCAGCCCCAAATTTGCCCACTTTTTTAATTGGGTTGTTTTGTTGTTGAGTTTTAGGAGTTTGCTATATATTCTGAATATTAATCCCTTATCAGGTATATGATTTGCAGATATTTCCTCCCATTCTTTCAGTTGCCATTTTACTCTGTTGATAGTATCTTTGATGCACAAAATTTTTAAATTTTCATGAAATCCAGTTTGTCATTTTTTTTTTTTTTTCCTTTTTGTCTTTTTTCGTGTCCGGCAACGGACCGCAACCCTCAGTGTTGCGTACCGGACCGGGACCGGCAACGGGATCGCAACCCTCGGTGCTGCGCCCGCCCCTCACTCAGCCAGTGAGCGGGAACCGGTCTGTATGTGGGATCCGAACCCTCGGCGGGAGCGCCGCCGCGCTTCACAAGTTTGTCTATTTTTTCTTTTGTTACCTGTACCTTTGGTGTCCTATCCAAGAAATCATTGCCAAAAATATAGGGTTTGACCAGTAGGGGGATCAGTAAGGGGA